CCCTAGGAGGGTGGTGAAGCACTGGAATGGGTTACCTAGGGAAGTAGTGGAGTCTCCATCCCTAGAGGTGTTTAAGTCTCGGCTTGACAAAGCCCTGGCCGGGTTGATTTAGTTGGAATTGGTCCTGCCTAGAGCAGGGGGCTGGACTTGATGACCTTCTGAGGTCTCTTCCAGTTCTATGATTCCGCAAATACTATGCTGCTCCCGTTCGGGAAAAAGCCCTCTTGCGCAAATGTATTTGCACAAATGTATTTGCGCAAGAGGGCCAATGTAGACAGCTAAAAACTGTTTTGTGCAAAAAAGCCCCGATGGCGAATATGACGATCAGGGCTTTCTTGCGCAAAACCACATCTAGATTGGCATGGACGCCTTTCTGCAAAAAGTGCTTTTGCGCAAAAGCGTCTGTGCCAATCTAGACGCTCTTTTCCGCAAATGCTTTTAACGGAAAAACTTTTCCGTTAAAAGCATTTGCGGAAAATCATGCCAGTCTAGATGTAGCCCTAATGTGAGAACATATCAGGCATTAGGAGGAAATTAGACTTGAACCCATTTTAATGTTGTGGTTAACTAAACAGTACGAAAAGATCACACAGATCCTACTCAGGGTAGTCCAGGGTCAGATGATTTGACTGGGAGTACATGATTCTCCTCTTGCATGATCAAATCTCTGCAGTTTAGGGCTGGGAAGAGGAATGTTGTGAACTCTGGACCAAGGGAAGAAGGACTACTTGTAGAACCTCATGAGATCCTGACAAGTGTAGACAACTTCCTTAGCATATACTTGGCTCTAACATATATTAATAAAACCATATCCCAGGAGCTGAGATTCTATTTTAGAATACTTGTTCAATTTCTAAATTGATAGGAGGAAAGGTCCTTTCATGGACTGATAACTGGTTAAAAAGACAGAAAACAAAGTGTAGGAAAAAATGGTAAGTTTTCAGAATGGAGAGAGGTAACCAGTAGGGTTCTAACGGTCTGTCCTGGGATCAGTCCTATTCAACTTATTTATAAGTGATCTAGAGAAAGGGGTAAATAGTGAGGTGACAAAATTTGCAGATGATACCAAACTGCTCAAGATAGTTAAGACTGAAGCAGACTGTGAAAAGCTTCAAAATGATCTCCCCAGACTAAGTGACTGGGCAACACAATGGAAATGAAATTTAATGTTGATAAATGTAAAGTAATACCCATTAGAAAAAACAATCCCAACTATATCTTCGAGAGAGATCTTAGAGTCATTGTAGATAGTTCTCTGAAAACATCCACCCAATGTGCAGCAGCAGCCAAAAAAAGCAAACAGAATGTTAGGAATCATTAAAAAAGGGCTAGAAAATATAAAACCATGGTACACCCACCTCTTGAATACTGCGTTGAGATGTAGTCACCCGATCGCGAAAAAAGATATATTGGCATTGGAAAAGGTTCAGTAAAGGGCAACAATTAGGGGGTTGGAACAGGTCCATTATGAAGAAAGATTAAAAAGACTTGGACTTTTCAGCTTAGAAAAGAGGAGACTAAGGGGAGTTATCATAAAGGTCTATAACATGACTGGTGTGGAAAAAGTGAATAAGGAAAAGTTATTTACATATTCCCACAATGTAAGAACTAGAGGTCACCAGATGAAATTAACAGGCAACAGGTTTAAAACAAAAGGAAGTTTTTCTTCACTCAGTGCACAGCCAACCTATGAAACTTCTTGCCAGAGGATGTAGAGAATTCTAGGACTTTAACAGGGTTCAAAAAAGAGCTAGATAAATTCATGGAGGTTAGATCCATCAATGACTATTAGCCAGTATGGGTAAAAATGGTGTCCCTAGCCTGTTTCTCTGGAAATGGATGAAAAGAGGGATCACATGATGATTACCTGGTATGTTCCCTCCCTCTGGGGCATCTGGTACTGGCCACTGTCAGCAGGCAGGATACTGGGCTAGATGGACCTTTGGTCTGACCCAGTATGGCCGTTCTTATGTTCTTAGTATGGGCACATGACATCCCGTTCTGGCTCTGGGATGGGGAGGGGGATGAGAAGTTTGGGAGGACCTCAGGGCTGGGACAGAGGTTTGGGCTTCAGGCTCTAGGATGGGGATGAGAGCTTTGAGGTATGGAAGGGGCTCTGAGCTAGGGAAGAACGATTGGTGTGAGAGTGCAGACTCAGAATTAGGATGAGGGGTTTGAAGTGTGTGAGGGATTCAGGAGCATTGGGGTGAAAGCTCAGTTGTGGGCTCTGGGGTGGTTTAAGGGTTTGGGAGCTGCTGAGGTCTGGGACAGATAGTCTGAATGTGGGGATGGTGAGGACTCTGGCTGGAGGTGTGGGCTCTGAGGCGGGTCTCGGCCAGGGATGAGGAGTTCAGACTTTGTGGTGAACTAGGCAGGCTGCTCCAGGCTTGGAGCCAGAGAGCAAGATTCTAACTCTCCATTCCAGCACTCACCCAAGCCCCAGAAGAAGTCCACTGGGAGGGGCATCATGTGTCTCCTCCTCTCTGCCATCCACAGACACAGCACTAGGATCTAGGGGTCATAGTGGACCACAAGCTAAATATGAGTCAGTGTGCCGCTGTTGCAAAAAAAGCAAACATGATTCTAGGATGCATTAACAGGTTTGTTGTGAGCAAGACATGAGAAGTCATTCTTCCATGCTACTCTGCGCTGATTAGGCCTCAGTTGGAGTATTGTGTCCAGTTCTGGGCACCACATTTCAAGAAAGATGTGGAGAAATTGGAGAAGGTCCAGATAAGAACAAGAATGATTAAAGGTCTAAAGAACATGACCTATGAAGAAAGACTGAAAGAATTGGGCTTGTTTAGTTTGGAAAAGAGAAGATTGAGAAGGGCCATGATAGTGGTTTTCAGATATCTAAAAGGGTATCACAAGGAGGAGGGAGAAAACTTGTTCTTCCTGGCCTCTGAGGATAGAACAAGAAGCAATGGGCTTAAACTGCAGCAAGGGAGGTTTAGGTTGGACATTAGGAAAAAGTTCCTAACTGTCAGGGTTTTAAACACTGGAATAAATTACCCAGGGAGGTTGTGGAATCTCCATCTCTGGAGATATTTAAGAGTAGGTTAGATAAATGTCTATCAGGGATGGTCTAGACAGTACTGGATCTTGTCATGAGGGCAGGGGACTGGACTCGATGACCTCTCGAGGTCCCTTCCAGTCCTAGTATTCTATGATTCAACACCACCACTCCCTGAAAGCCAGGCTGCAGCAGTAGCAGTTGCCGAGTAAATTTAGGGTGTCTAGAGCTCTCACCCGCTGCCCATGGCACAGGTCAGGTGAGGCAGTCTGGGGAGGCATTTGAGGACTGGCAAATGGGAAGGGGATGCTCTGGGGGAGATGTGCCAGGGCAGCAGTGGGGCCAGAGGAAAGACCCAGCATCGACATTGGTGGAGCCAGGCCTCCAGGCCCCAACACTGGTGGAACAAAGGCACTGTAGGCCCATGTAACTAGACATCCCTGCTCCCAGTTCACAATACAGGTTAGACCTCCCTGATCCGGCACCCTTGGGACCCGAGTGGTCTCAAAGGAGGGATTTTACCAGACCAGGGAGGTCATTTCTGTCCCCCTCCCATCAGCCCCTAGTCCTGCTCCACTCCTTGCCTGGCCTCCTGGCAGGCTCCCCACATGCGACCAGTCCTGATGCCCTGACATGGCAGCCCAGGGTCCTGCTGCTGGGGCGCTCAGCCTCGCCACGGCAAACCACTGCCCCACCACTCGTGCTCCTGCCCCACCAGCCCTGCAGCACCGTCCTCGCCAGCCCACAGTCCCACCGCTAGGATTCCCGCCTCCCTTCCCCCAAAGCAGACCTATGCTCAGTTGGGGTTCTCAACGCAACCGACCTACTTGGGCAGCACCAGTCCCGCTGCTGGGGCTTCTGATCTCCACCAGCCCTACTGGGCTCCTGGTCTCACCACAGCAAACCGCACTTTGAGCTTTTGAATGAAGAGCTAACTGAATACATTTAAAAGGTCAAAGTGGCTTAGCCAGACTCCTGCAGCAGGGCTCCTAGACACTGGCCTCCCTGCAGCCATCCTGGCTGAGTTCCTGGCCCCCACAGGGCTCCTACCTTTGGTCCTCCACCGGGTCTCTATGGTCCAGCAACATCCAGAACAACTGCTGGACCACGAATGTTGCCGGACCAGAGAGTCCCAGTTGAGAGAGGTTCAACCTGTAGTATGTGGATGGCCTGTGGCAATTTAAGTGAAACAGAAGATTTCTATAATGCACAATCAGCTGGCTGGCTTCTGTTTTTGAGGTCGCTCTGCTGTTCACTGTCTCAAGCCATCTATGATTATTCGCTTGCATACTGTAATCCAGTGCACTAAAAATAATGAGATCAGCTACTGTAATTTCCACAAGAGTTCTTGCACGTGCACTGCATACCATGTCTTCAAGACTAGATTCTGACTTTACAATACCGTATGATGGATATAAAGGGTTACCTGGTTAACTGGCAAGCATCACCCCCACTGGCATGCTTACCAGGGATTGCTGGAACAGACTCCCGCTCCATCCCGTGGGAGGCCACTCTGGCCCAGCCCCGCAGCATGCCAGATAACTGGTTAATTGTAACACTTAAACAGTTAACTTCTTAAATGCTATTTTGCATGCCTATACTGTATTCCATAATACACAGCTGTTTTTTAAATAATCAGTATGGAGGAAGAAAAGCTTTCTGTACCTTTATTGACTCTAAGATGCTAGTCCCCATCTCAGTTTCTATTCTGCAGTTATCACAGTCTATTTTCTGAATCTTCACGCAGCCAGTCCCTGATGTCTTGATATCCAAATCTAGAACAGTTAAAGCAAAAAAATGGGGCTCTCTTTCTTAGTGCTAAAGAAAAACAAACAGTTCTAAAATACCAAAATATCTGGTCTCAATCTATAGCAATTGCATGTACAAGAAAAACCGACCAGCCACAAAAATAATCCACAAACTCAATTTCTTACAAAGCTCAGTCTTCTTCTATTTCACTGTTGGTCAAGTGTTATTTTACAACATGATTTTCCTTGATCAAACTGATAATATTTGAAATCCTAAATACCCTCCAATTTCCGAGACTTTTAAGAGAGTAGTTTAGGTACACTGTATAGCCTCCTGCAGAGAAAGGAATAGCCCACAGAGTATGCCTCCCTCTGAAATTTTCAGTCATCTCAAAATATGCCATTCCTATGATCTCAAAAGTATACTCAAACTTCAAATAACAAATATCTATATATACACAATGTGTGCACCTGCTTCTTCAAGGGAAGCAGGAGGGGCACTGGGAAATCAGTATATTGACTAATGTACCTGCAGAGTAAGTATGAGCCCATGAAAAAAAAAGATGTTTGCATATATTGTTTAACAGCCATTTATGGTACTTATTTCCATAGCATGAGAGCCTCAAACATTTATGAATTCAGTCACACAACAGTTCACTTCTGGTGCAAAGCAGTAAAAAATTGATATGGCTATTGGCCCAAGCCTAGTGAGCAACTATTAGTATCTGGCAGCAGTACCGCTGAGCTGTCTCTAGGATTTGTAGTCACAGCACTGTCTAGATTCAAAGGGAGTTTCTGACTGCTAAAAGATGACATAGGAATTGTACTTGGAAAGAGGAGGCCTCTCCTGGCATCCCTGATACTGCTGTCTTCCAATTTTTGTAACCCGTACAGATGGGCCACCCAAAAGAACACAAGCTAGTAGAGCTCGTGACTCTGACTCACTTAGAGCTTGTGTTGGAGGGTAGCAGGTTGGCTGCATGTAACAAGTCTCGTGGGAACATCTGTGAACTGCAGGTGTGCACAGCCAACTGCACCAGCTCAGATGGAAAATAACAACTTATTAGCAACTCTTACACTACCTGCTGGTTTTTCTTACTGCTTCAACTGCTAGAATCAAAAGACAGTGTGTATACCTCAGCTTTCATTCAAATAAAAAGTACATTTTAGCTCCTGTGGCAGCACAGAAAAGTTTGAAAACATGAAGTCAGAGTACCCTAAAGCCCCAGAAACCAATAGAAAAAGAACAAGAATCCTTTAAAAATTCAGGATTTTTTTTAAGGGC